ATTTCACAGAGGAGCAAACTGAGGCCAAGAGAAGCTCCAGAATATTCCCAGAGTTACAGCGGAGGCTGGAGGGAAGCTGTAGGAGATGGGACATAAACCCAACAGCTGAGCCACAGGGCCTGATTAACACAGGGCGAGGGACAGCCTAACAGACACACAAAGGATGGTGAAGCACGTTCGGGGTAGCTATGACTGATGTTCACATGTGCCAGTCTGCAGTTCCAGAAAAGGGGCGTGCTTTCTTGCAGAATTTATGTCTGATGTCACGATCACACACACACGTTCAAAACTATGGACAAAAATACAGGTTTAGTTGTACAAGCATAGTTAGGAATAGAGGGACATACACGGGAGTGAGCTCTGGTCCCACTGAGGCCGGTACCCCATAAGTGAGGCCAGTATACCCGGAATGATGCCTGTTGCTCATAGATAAGGCCTGGGTGCCCTCCTATGGTACTGAGACCCACAGACTATGAATGAGGCTAGCATCCCGAGTGACTCCTGGTCCCACCGTGTGAGTTCCCACCAGTGCCCCTTGAGCTAGATCTGTAGACTCCTGAATTCCGCTGTCCACCGGGAAGGGGGATTAAAACCCTGACTCAAGGCTGTACGCTCCCGAAGGATGCCTCTATCCCTTGAATGAGGTCGGGTCTCCTTGAGTGATGTCTGGCCCCCTGCCAATTCGACCTTGGTTTTTGCCGATCAACGAAGGTGGCGGTTCCAGTCATCAAGTCCTCCCTCCCTTCGGACCCTTTAAGAGAGGGTCCTCAGACCACTGCGACGCCGACCCCGGCTCCAGCCTGCAGCGTTGCTATGGAGACAGGGACCAGCGGGGAGGGGGCGAAGGGAGGGAGGACCATGGAGATCCGCCTGCGCAGGCGCAGGTCCGAGACACCTCGTCGCTGCGGAATCGCTGAGATCTGAGCAGAAGGTGCGCGATCAGACTCCGCGGCAGCCCCAAGCAAGCGGTGGCTCCAATCTCCCGCGCCCCTCCAGGTGCGTCCGCACTGCCCCCCCTGCTGCCCCAGTCACTCAGGCCTGTGTTAGGGACAAAGGGATGGAACGGCTGGGCCTGCCCTGAAGAACAGACACGTAAGCCCCCTGCGGATCCTCGGGCAGCCTTGGGGAGGGGTCCTAGGGGAGGCCGCTGTGTCCAACTACGCAGCACCAGCCGCGGCCTCTAGCCCCTCCCACCCCACCGCCCGGCCTTGCCACATTCCCCTGAACCTGAGCGCCAAGCCTTCCAGGGTGTTACTGGCAGAGAGCACCGCACGCAGCCCACTCCTGCCTCGGGCTCCCTCCCGCCCTGAGATCAGCGCCGAGGGGGGCCGCCATGGCTATGAGCCTTTTGCAGGACTGGTGCAGGGAGCTGAAGGTGGACGTGCGCAGGGCCCTGCTGGTCACCGGCATCCCCCAGGGCCTGGAGCAGGCGGACATCGAAGCGGTCCTGCAGCCAACCTTCCTGCCCCTGGGCACGTTCAGGCTGCGGAACACGAGGGCCATGAGGAACGGGAAGGCCAAGGCCGCCCTGGTGGAGTTTGTGGAGAACATTAATCACGCCGCCATCCCCAGGGAGATCCCGGGCAAGGACGGGGTCTGGAGGGTTCATTGCAAGGAGCGTGGGCAAGACACAAGATTCCTGAGGCAGATGAAACGCCTGCTGCTGGACGAAAGGCCTGCGCAGGTCAGGGTGTCCAAGGCCCCGGGGGACACGCCCACCGCTCCCGCTTCGGAGACGCAGGCCCAGGGGTCCGGGCAGGCAGCCGGGAAGGCGGGCCCCCCTTCTGGGGCAGCCAGGAGCTCTAGGAGGGGCCGTCGGGGTCGCAGAAACAGAGCCAGAGGCAACAGGTTGACTCAGCAGGGTAGGAAGAGGGGCCGGGGAGGGCGCCCCTCCACTCCCGCGGAGAGCGAGTCGGACGACTCCTCCGACGAGAGCCTGGACTTCGTGATCCGGGAGATCGAGGAGGGGGACTTGACCGGGGACCAGGATCAGAGCGCGCTGTACGCAGCGCTGCAGGCTGCGGCCAAGGAGCTCGCTAAGAAGTGGGCCCTCCAGAACGCCACGGGCGACGAAGACAGTCCCCGGGAGTTCCTGGCCCTGGTCACCGTCACCGACAAAACCAAGAAGGAGGAGACACAGAAAGAGACCCCTGGGGCCGAGTCTGTCCGCTCGAACACCAAACAAGAAGAGAGCGGTGTCCCGGACTTGGTGGCCCTACTGGCAGTGAGAGACACCTCCGACGAGGAGCTGATGGACAGTGACGCCTCGGAGACCACCTCGCAGGACAGCGAGGAGCAAGAAAACGAGGGGATGGACAACCCCGAGTTCGTGGCCATCGTGGCATATACAGACCCCTCCATCCCCTCGGCCAGGGAAGAGATGCTGAAAATCGCTTCTGTGATCGAGTCGTTGGGCTTGAGCGACAAGAAAGACAAAAAAGATGCCCTTCCGCAGGTCTTGTCAGTCATGTCCAAGGACACCTCCGGGACCCGCGTGAAGGTGGAGGAGGCAGGCCGCGCGGTGGACGCCGTGATCTTGAGGAAGGCCCAGGACGACGGGAACCTTCTGGAGTGCATTTCGACCCTGGCCGAGCCAGAGATGCCCTCCCAGGGCGGGGAGGCTCAGCGCGGCCTCCTCGGGGGCTGGGGCAAGGACGGCGACGAGGAGGGCGGCCTCCTGGAGCTGGTGGCGCTCCTGGCCGCCCAGGACATGGCAGAGGGCATGACGGCGGAGGAGAAGCAGAAGGCCTGGGAGGGCGGGCAGTACGGATACGCCGAGGGCAAACTGGGGGAGGTCTTGGCTCTCCTGGCCGCCCGCGAGGAGTCCGGGGAGGCTTCGGACGAAGAGTCGCAGGAGGAGTCGGAGGAAGCGGAGAGCGAGGAGTCGGAGCCCGAGGACCCGGCGTCCAGGAAGCCCCGCGCCAAGAGGGCGCGCACGGGTCCCCGGGGCCCGGCTCAGGCCGGCGCGGGCACGGCCGCCGCCCCCGCCCCCGCCGCG